GTAAGTTTATGTTGGATGACAGATCGTAAGTATTTAATCTTTTGACATATACTAAACAAGGGTTAAATCATACTAGTGGTTATAGGTATGTTTAGAAGTGGAGATCTTACAGGTATAGCTTAAGTATTACTGATATCTGTGTTAGTCTGATCTTTGATGGTGATGGTCCTTTCTAAACGTCTTCATGCATTGTGAATTCTGTTTTACCCATCTGGAAGGGGGAAACATGTCTTGCTTGCTCTGGTAAACAACCATTTCTTCTTCGGCTAAAACGGATAAAGGGGATGCATGGTGCGCTCTGAATCACTAATGCTTTTGTAGTTTATGATTACAGGAAATATATATGTATTTTTTTTCTTTCTTTCCTTTTTTTTCTAGTTTCAGAGATCACTAATCTGATAAAATGGGTTTTAGTGACTCCGTTTGGCTTTTATGTATTACTGCTACTTCCTCTGATCATTTTTTTAAGTATTAGGTCGTTGTCATAAATATTTTTGTCATGTTTGCTGCTGGTGTTATGATGTTGAGTGGCGATGCTGTTTTTATACATGTGAAAAATGATGTGTATATTTATGAGCAATTTTTTTTGTGAATTACAATATAGGTATGGAAGATCATCTGTAGAAGGGAGTAGAGAATAGTACTTGTATTTTGATTACTTTTGCTGAATAGGTCAATTAGTTATCTAGATGCATTATTTTATTATTTTTTAAATTATTATTATTATTTTTTTTTTAATATAGTGAAGGATAAATCAGTTAAAGGTTGTTTTTAGGTTTCATGATGTCATAGAGCATTCATAAGGAAATGGTTAAAAATTACATTATGGTTGAGGAATATGGTAGACATATATTTTTGCCTTTGTCTTTTTTTGTCTTACTGTCTGGTATTGTATGATATTTCACATATTCAGCCAGTTGCATATTGTTCTTTATGTTTTTGTTCTTATTAGCACTATTATTGTTGATATGATTATTTTTGTTTGTGCTATGATTATTTTGTTTTTGTACTTTTTATAATTTGTTTTATGATTATAATGGTTATAATTAAAATTGTTGTTATTGTTATTATTAGTGTTCTCATCATTGTTGTTATTCTTTGTATTATTATTATTTTTTTTTTCACAATTTTTCATCATCATCAATAGTGTTAGTATTAGTATTGTCTTTGTTATTATTATTATTATTATTATTATTATTATTATTAATATTATTATTATTATTATTGTTATTATTATTATTATTATTATTTTATTATATTATCATTATCATTATCATTATCACCAAATTTAGTATTGGTATTATTATGTTTTTTAGATATTGTTAATGTTTTTTTTCTTTCTTTCTATCTTTCTTTCTTTTTATTGTTGTTAGTATTATTGTCATTGTTATTATTGTTGTTTTTATTTTTATTTATTTTTTCCTTCACAATTCCTACTACTCATATTAATATTGTTATTATCATGATCATAATTATATTCATTATTATTCTTTGATGTTGATAATTGATTATTGAATGATTTTCAGTATGGTGAACCTCAGTGTATCTACTCATATCTTGCTCTGGTCCCTGGTTTACCTTCCATATTGCTTACATACCAAAAAAAGACTTAAAATCGTAAACAACATGAAACGCGATAGAGTAAAGCTTTTATTTATTTATTTATTTATTTATTTATTTATTTATTTATTCAGTTCCACACAAAAAAGGAGAATACTAAAGTCAAAATGTGGAAGAAAGTTTATTTTTCCATTACTGCTATAAAAATGTCTCAAACCTGGTGTTTATCCTAGGTCTCATATGAAGTTTTTAATTTTTTCAATACTTTTTATTTTACAGTTTGTATTTTGTAGAAATTCATACAACTGCTCATTTTAAACACTTGGGATTGTTGCTTTATATATATAGAAAAGTAAACCGTTAAGAAAGAAATTTAGATTATGCTGCACAGGTTCTATTTGCACCTATATAATGATACCTTGCTCAATGTAAGAGAATAACCAGGGTCTGGATCAGTTAAATATGGTACCAGAGCTGGATAAGAGTAGTGAAATTGGAACCAGAGGCAGCTAGAGAATTATAAAGTTTATGAAGTTAATGAGATTCCCCCTTATCATTGCTATAGACTATCCTAGTTTTTAATGTATAGATATATTAACAGACTCTGGTTTTTGGCTAGGCAGAGTGCAGATAACAGGTTTTGTGAAATCATATAATTATACAGATGTACATTTCATGTTCACTAAATGTGAATAGGAAGACAGCTTCACAGTTCCTGCTACCTCAGTCATGTGGTACATGTATTTGTGCCGTTGTGCAGATTTTAAAAGTATTTGTTTATTTTTTATTGTCCTTAATGTCTCTAACTTTTTTTTGCAACCCTTGGATTTTCTCTGAAAACACCATAAAACACTCATATTTACACTTTGTGAATTTCCTGGGTATTGTTTGTTGTGCAATTAACATGTTTGATTATCACAGCTGCACCATATTAAAAGTATTTACACAATGCTTGGAGTTACTCATTGCTTTCTGTGTGATTTTTCTTTTGACCATAAGATCACAGACCAACATATATGTCTGTGTTAGTATATGTTCAAGACATTTTTATTTAGGTGTGTATATATAATGAAAAGGATTTTTAACCTTTGCATTAAGGTTTATGACATAAGTAATCTATTATTGGTATTATACTTGATAAGATAAATATCAGGTAAGTCTTTGTAAAAGCAAAGTTTGTGGTTTGTCTAAGAGCTTCTCTATCCCCAATTTAAAAATAAACCAAGATTGGCTGTATTTGTTTGTGCATGGTGTACATTTCTGATGCTATATGAAAGAATGTTACTTCTAATATATTTGCTGATTTTCATTGAAATGTGATGAGTATCAATATTATAGCAGTTATACCAGTTGACTTTAAATTGCAAGAAGTGGTAAAAGTTTGTACAACTTTTAACAAAGAAAATAGAGTGCTTATTTTTTGCATATTTCCAAATTCTAAAGCCAAGTTAGACTCTTGAAACTGGTTTTAATGACATCTTGTCACAGCCACGAGAACTTAGAAGAATTATGAAACAGGCCCCTAAGAAAAATGAAGAAAAGGATTTGGTGAGAGACTATTAGTGATGGAAAATTTGTTCATGAAACTTCTTGAAGATAGATGTGAAGGCTAAGCAGATAATGAAAATTATGGAGCTTACATAGAGAGGCCCAGAAATTCTAGAATTGGTGATAGTGAAAACCTTTTCTTGTCATGGAACATAGACAAAGCAGTAGAGAAAAGCATTGTAACCCCATCAGATTCCAGTTACCTCATGAATTTTTTTATTATTCAGATTCTGATAATGATACCCAATCCAGAACTGCTCTGATTTCTGCTGCTTCATATATAGTGCATTTGCTCACTTCAACTCTACCTTTTCCTCTTTTCTCTCATATGTCAAGGGTTTCCAAATGCAGTGTGCTAAAGTATAATGGTTATTGATCAAAACTTTAAAGGGCTAGATTGAAGGGGTTAGCAGAGATCTGTGACATGCTAATGAAAACCAGCACAACTGCTAAACACAAAAGTGAAAATGGCAGCTGAGTATGACTCCCATAATGGAACTTGATACAAAAGTATACTTGGATTTCTTTCTTTTGGTACCATATTAGTTTTTTTCCAAGTATTATAATCCAGTCTTTTTTATTGTTTTTATTATTTATTATTATTAGTGACTACTAATTTTTTCATTGCAGTTTATATGTTACTAGTCCATGAAATATCAGAAATTTAAAAAGTGGCAACCAGCTGTGGGCTACAGTCCTCTGATTCATCAAGTTGCTTTAAGAAAAGAAATAATGATTTGCTGTTCAACAAAGCCTATTTTATAAAAAGTAATGAACTCGTAAGATCCTGATATGTCATGGCAATCACATAGCCCAAAATCCGGGCATGAGGCTTACAAAAGTGGCTGCTCTGATAAGTGCACAGCTTGTAGGCCGGATGATAAGACTCCATGCCTCTCCATTTACTATGTTAATTTCTCTTTTCATGCATAAGCATTTTTAGATTTTGGAAATGATGCCCTCCAGGGAGCTGGTGCTCTTCCAGTCATGGCTCACAGACACGAATTCACACTCATTTATAGATGAAAATAATGCAAAAGCCCATTTCTAAACACCAAATGATCTAGTTACTTGTGCACACTTGGCAAGTCCTTTCCGTCACCCTAGCCCACACCCCAGCCCACACTCAAAATTTTCCCATGATGGCTTGTTCACGTCACCTGTGCCTTAAACCAGATTTTTTCATTATGTGAGGATTGTAGGGTTAAGCACAAGTATTAAGAGTTAGATGATTTAAAAATGATTTGGTGAATTGGAGGACTTGAGGGGTTGGGGTTGAGTTGCTAGTTTTCTATCTTAACCCATTGGTCGCGGTATTATGCAATATGGCGCGTAATCCCCTAATTTTCATTATTTTCAACTCGGGTGGCGTATGGGACCACACTTGAGTGTGCACGCGCGCAGTGGTGCTGCCTTCCCTCTTTCGCGCAAATATTTTGTTTACTTATATCTGCGAAAAAATATGTATGCAAAAATTTGCAAAAACCCTTGCAAATACATGCAAACATATGTAAATGTGCTCAGAAAGAGTGGCGGGTGTGGTTTTAGCACGCGCAATAGGCGAACAACTCATTTGGCGGTAAACAGCCCATCGCACACACGGGCCCGGGGGTGGTGGGCCTGGGCCCTGTAAGGCCACAAGGGGAATGCTGGCTTGGCGGCTGATATTCCCGGGCCCACTCAGCTCCCATGCCGCGAGGCCGCCCGCTGCTCAAAGGGGATCAGCTTTTAATTGCACGGTGCATCATATGATGCCATCCGCAGCCAGTGGGTTAAGATGGGATGTACTATAGTTTATTCTCATGATTTCTGTCCTTTTTAGATTTTGCTATTCATTATTTCTTCTTGTTCTCATGTCACAAGGGAACAAGTATAGGTCCTGCATTATCTTG